CGGGTCCATGCACACCTGGCGGTCCGCACACCTGGGCGCCTATTGTGTGTTGGGCTGGGCGCTTTGGCCTGGGGCTGGCCCGTAGCAGTGAGACCTGGGAAAGTGGGAATTACAGGACTTGATCTCTGAATCCTGAGGACAGGCGGAAGGAGGGCCTGGCTCACAGTGGAAGGCAGGGTTCCAGCTGCTAGCTGTGTCGTCTGTGGCAGCCTGCTCCCCTAGGCCTCGGCTCAGTCCCTTTGTGGGCTGGTGTCCTAAGAACAAGCCCTGCTTCTAGAGGAAGGGAGGATGGAGCCAGAGAAACAAGCGCCTCCCAGCAGAGGGTCGCCTTGGGTTTGTTCCTCTGAGCTGACTTGGCACAGGCAGCCCGCAGGCCGCAGCGCCCCCCAGCTGCTTCCCGTGGCCTGGTGCTGGCCGGTTTCGGGTGGGACCACTTCCCCTGCCCTGTGGGGAAAGAGCTGATACTGAGAAACCCCAGCAGACAGCAATGTCACCTCTGCATCTGAGGCCTGGCCAGGGTGTGGGGACCCAGGTGTTCGGGCAGTCACTGCGGCCTCTGGCTGGGCAGTGGCACCTCCCACTTCATCTGGGGTGGGAGCTGTTGCTGGTTGGAGGGCTAGTAGGAATTGTGGGCCAGCCACTCTGGGGAGATTCTTCCTGGGCCCCCACCCCCTCTGGGCCAGGAGCACCCCCGTGTCCCCTGGGATGGTATCGCATTGCTGAGACCTCTGATCAGAGGCTGTTTCTCTTCTTGCTGAGGCCACTTTCCTTTTTAAGCATCGTCTCTGTCCCTCCCTGGAAGCTGTGTGTTGGGGTGTGGCTGGTGCCCCCAGGGAGCTTGGGCCACGGGCTAGGGATCGAAGCTCAAGGCCTCCCAGAGGAGGGGCTGTCACCAGGCGACACCTGGTGGGTGGGCGGATCTATTGTTCTATTGTTCCTGAGCTCTGTGTAGAGGAAGGTGCTGGGGCTCGTCACAGCAGCATTTCTGTAGCTGCAGCGCCGAAGTCACCTCTCACGCTCGCTGTCCCACCGGCATAAAGAACCGGGCTTTCTGTGCGTGGTTCAGCCCAGCACAGACTCCTCCATTCAAAGCACCTTTTTGCAAGACTTGGAGTGACATCCATTTTGAAAACGCTAGGGAATACAGAAAGCCCCCTCCGTGCGCGTCCCGCGGCCGCCAGCTTGCTCAGCCTCCTCACGCCTCAGGAACAAAGGCTTCGTGTCCTTCCACCGAAGTCGTGATCCTGCCGCAAGGACTGAGCTGGGTTCTGTGTGTGGAGCCTCGCGGCCTCCAGCGAGGCGGGGGGCAGTCCCCAGCCCCAGTCCCACTCTTGCTCCCTCTGGGTGGCCAGGGAGCTTCAGAAGCCGCCTCCTCGCGCAGATCCAGACTTGGGCATTTTAGGGGTCTTTGTTTAGTGTTGGTCAGTAGAACAGTGGGCCTCACTCAAGGCACAGGCTTCAACGGGCGGCCCTCAGCCCTGATGAATCTGCCCCGCCCGCCCCATCCCCAGCAACACTGGGCAATGTCTGGGGACACCTGTGGTTGTCACACTGGGGCTGCTCCTGGCATCGGGTGGGTGGGGGTCAGGGATGCTGCTCAGCACCCCACAGTACCCAGGATGGCCCCTTCCCCTACCTGCAGAGACTTACCCAGCCCCAGATGTCAGTGGTGCCGACGTCGGCACTGCCCCAGCGCCGGCTTTTCCTTTGTTTGGGGAGGGGATGGGCACGCAGGCCCAGGCCTGCAGGGAAGAGACAGACCCCGAAGAGCACCGCCTCCCGCTCTCAGGCCTGGGGGCTAGGGACATAGGAGCCCAAGGACTGGGATGGGGTCGGGGACAGCCTGGCCAGCTGGGAAGGCTCAGGATGTGGCCCCGAGTCTTCCCGGGGGTCTGGAGAAGAGGTGGGGTGCCTGGCAGGTATTCAGTCCTCCGATGGGGTAGAGCCCCAAGCGAAGGCATTTTGGCTTCACTTTCTGTTGTGCCAGGAGCCGGGGACCCCCAGCAGGCGGTGTCATCGGCCTTAGTTATCTCCTCTGCAAAATAGGCCTCAAGAGACAGCGCTGTCTCCTCGGTGCGATGCGCCTTCCTGCTTCGCCGCTCTCACCCCCCAGGCCCCTGGAGCCGCTTTCACAGAAGGTGGTTTGTAAGCCGCGTGGTGCGCGCCCGGGAGTTGCGCTTGTTGTTCTTTGAGCTGTCCCCTTGCAGCGCGTGGCCTCTGGCAGGCGGGGTCCGATTCTCGGCAGAGAGAGGGACACAGGAGGAAACGGGA